GTTTTGGAGGAAGAATTGAGTGATGAAGAAGAGGAAGCAGGTTCCTCTTCTTCATCACTCCAATATAGCTCCCTGGCGTCCGAGCTACATTGTTCAGGAAGCGATGTTGACTCAAATGAACCAGTTACTTTTAGGTAGTTATTTAACTATTCTAATACGAAACAAACAACAGAAAGAAATACACGTGTTTGTACTCAGAATCAATTAAAACATGTTTCTTTTTCAAGTGTACCTGCGACATCTTGCAGACGATGCCACGAGTTATTGAATGTCAAGAAATACAAGAAGTGCATTTCTTCTTCACCAGGTTTTAAGACACTGTAAAGGAATAATCGTACATGAACATTTACCCGACAAGCAAAGTATGTCTTCATTAACCATAAATAATCCCAATTTGAAACAAATAGAAAAAGTGAGATTAAGCCTGTCCTCCCTTAGACATTTTTGAACATGTCTGTGTTTAATATAATTTACAAGTCTTGATCCACCAGAAAGGTATTTGGCCCCACCAACCTCTTGGTGAAATGAAGTGAAATCCTGTGTGATTAATAAATCTAATCTAATCTAATCTAATCTAATCTAATCTAATCTAATCTAATCTAATCTAATCTAATCATTCTGAGGAGCTTGTAAAGTTAATAAGAGTTAACGGTTCGAAATAAAGTTTCAAAATAAATAAAACACACTTACAAACATCGTTGCTAGGTAACGTCAGCTACATTTTCTCATTTCCGTAGTTCATTCAGTGACCTTCCCGGCAGCCAGTGCCAGCTCGTTTTAATGGTTTTCTGACTAAAAAAAAAACTTTATTTGTGAAATTATGGAGGATTCTGCGTGGATTTTTATGCAAAGACTTGTAGAGAGGCAAGTGCACGAACAGTTTGACGTGCCGGTGCCGAGACATTTAGCAAGAGATGTGAGGAGGATGCAGATATTATTAAGGGAGCCACGTGCAAATCAAAACATAATAGAAGCCGTCCGGATCTGGTTGTGGCGCGTTTTGCCTATGTTTCGTCATCTTTTTATGTGGTAGTGCCCTCGTTGGTTGGTAAGCTAACAAAACCATAAAGCTAAATAATGTCGTTGTTTTTTAAAGACTGCAGTAGCCATGGTACCCTGTTGTGGGTTTCCTCTGGGTATCATGTTTGCCTGACTGCAGCAGTTCAAATAGTTTATTGAAAGAGTGTAACGATATTCCGTGTCCTTCTTCTTCTGCAGCGGCTCTGGAAAAGTTCTGTGCCAGAGGGAAGAGGAACTCCGACGACCCTTTTATTACACCTGACTGTCCTCTGCAAGACTTTTTTTTTTTTTTTTTCGTCTGACATACTGCAGCTACAGTATCACGTTGAGTTGCAGGATGATCTAAACCCCACCTCAGCGGAAGTATTTTATTGAGGATCCTTACAATATGCACGTTTTCCTCTACTGAGCTGTAGATGGTATTTAAAAAAAAAAAAATCATAAACTTCTTGTCTGCCTCCGTTACATTTGGTCTGCTTTTGTTACACAAGGCTGTATGAAAAACCTAAACATAAACTTTATTTTCTGCTCCTTTGACCAATTGGCAGCCTTATGAAAACTGTTTCAGTCACCTTCAAATAAGAGCAACAGAAAAGAAAACTACTTATACTGTTTTTTGTTGTTGTTGTTGTTTGTTTGTTTTGGGGGGGGGAGGAGGTTGTGGGGGGGGTTGCATCGTAACAAATAGTTTTGTGAAAAAAAATCTGCATATTTATTCTTGCACTATAAAATTTCATAATAGTTAAGATGGTAAAAAAAGACAATGGAAATAAATACCTACAATGAACTTTATATAAAAAAAATAAAAATATGAAAGGCTTAAAAGAAAACTAACTTGCATTGTCATTTCTATGTAAAATGTCTAATTGCACACCAGCGTTTTTCCACTAGCAAAAACATACCAAATGTTCTGAGCTGGTGAAGCATTTTTTGCTGGCATCCCTCCAAATGAACTTTGAAAGCTCGGGTTCAAGAGTGTGAGAAACCCACAAAACCTCATGTCATGCTACTGCAGGAAGGTTCTCATGCTAAACCTAAACCAGAGTGAATTAGAATCCTCATTTTTAACATATTCTAAGATTGCTCAGTTTAACTAACTAAACTAATAGTTATTCCATAAAAGACATTTTAGAATAAGTTTGGGAGACAAAAGTTTGTTTAAATCCAAGTCTTTATTTCGAGACAAACCATTTAGAAAAAAATAAATAAATAAATCAAGTGAAACAGGACACATTCATCACATGTCAAACAGTGAAGCATCTGGAGGAAACCAAAGGAAACTCCATAGCAGTGAAGGTAAAATTAAGAAGTTCTACTCATTTAGATGGACTAAACATATATCAGTCTGCTGTCCTGACAGCAACTGGTCAAGTGTGAGTTCATCATAAAAGGTGCAGCTTGAGAATTAAACAATAACCTTCCTTGTGTGTGTGTGTGTTTAAGCCAAATGTAGAGATGGGCTTTAAACCAGGACAGTCCTGCTAAAGCTTTGACAAATAGGCTGAGGTTTCCTGCAATGAGGCAGTGCAAAAATCCTCTTTACTATTAGTCTAAGTTTCAGGACTTAGAACTGTATGGCTATACTACTTCAGACAGATTTGATTTTTATGGGAAAATAACCCTAAGGTTACAGTAACAACAAAAACTACCTAGATTTACAAAGACGGTCTTACAGCATCAAGATTTATCTTAACTTGTGATTCTTGTTTCTGTTATTCAAATCTTTGTATCGAGTTGACAGATCATCTCCCTGCTAAATCTTTCACCAGTGTTTTTCCTCTAGACTTGCATGTCCCTGACTAAGGGTAGGAACACGTGTTTTAAATGTGATCCAGACCATCGTAACATGATGGGAAGTAAGAAGCCAGCACCACACCCGTCTCCCAGACATCCTATCCACTAACCCTTAACGACACATTAAGTTTAGAATTTAATTTGCAAGAAATGCAGCACCACCACCAACAACAACAAAAATCTATTGCATCTGTAAGCTGTGTAGTCTGTAGTTTTCAATAATATTAGAAGATGGAAAAATATGATTGTTACGATACTTGTCCAATCAAGACAGTCTTCAAAAGATTTACATTTTCAAATGTACAATGCTGGAGAACCTTACGTCCTAAAATGATGAGTTTAATAATATGTAAACAACTTCTTAACTTTTATTACTTGTATGCATTAGGTAACACACGTCTGCTTCAAAGCGAAGATGGGGTACACATAGAGCGAACATGTGAATCAATAAAATAAAGGAGAGCAAACAAAGTGCTTATTATTCATGGAAAAAGTCTTTTGCAAAACCTTTAATTAAAATATCTAACAAGTGTCACCAGGGAAATATCCCTGTGTGGTTGCTCTGGTAACTTCAGTGAAGATGAATTAATCAATAGGAACTATATATCCCAGTAGCAGCGACTAAACACTCTCCTTCAGGAAGGCATGCTTTAATTAGCACCATCTTGCAGAAGTTACAAATCCACAAGGATGAATTTACGCCACAAATTCTCCAAACAGAATTTAAAATCTTTTTAAAAAAAATAAACTAAGTCTCTGAAGGTGCCTGGCAGAAGGACATGACACCATCTCAACATATGTGCCAATCTCCATTTCTAAAGTGCTGATTAAGAAGAAATATTATCGAGGCATCTGCTGTGTTGTTCTTTTTTTAGCAACATAAGAGACTTTCCTTCCACTATGATAAAGCCGGTTTGTACAAACGTCTCAATGCAGCACTTGCACAGTTTGTGTTAATGATGCCATCTAGCAGCCGAGATAATTATGACAAAAATGGAAGTGAAAAGTTTAGGGTTGAAGGCCACAAAGATGGAAAAGGAAAGAGGTGGAGGAGGATGGATGGAGGAAATCCTACTGAAAAAAAAAGACCAACACAGCTTACAATTAATCAAGAAATCAGAACAACTCAAACCTACCTTACATGTATTTTTGTACCCACTTAAAAACACCAAAATAAAGTATTGTATATAGTATTTCTGTAACTACAAACAGCATAAAAAAAATACCATGTAAAGCATTATGATTAGGTATAAGTATATTTAAAGCTCTAAATCAGCATAATTTTTTTGGTTTTACTAAAATATTACAACGCTCTTGAGAACATCCATCCACCCCCATAGTGCAAGACAGAAACAATCTGTATAAAGAGCTGCATTGCTCAAGAAGAATCTCTGATTTTGGACCTCCAGTTTTTGGCTCTTTCAAAGCCATTTGTGCCATTCTGGAAGTCCATAATGGCCTGCTGGATCTCCTCCTGAGTGTTCATTACAAATGGACCTGAAGGCCAAACAACTTCAATTAATACACTGAAAGCTGTGGCCAGAATTCCTGCTAATAACAAAGGGATTTCTTCGTTTACTGAACAGTAATGGGAAAGCAGAGAACATACCCTGTTGTACCACGGGCTCGTTGATCGGCTCTCCAGCAATCAGCACAAAATGAGAAACTTCAGAGCCCTGGAGATAAAAACAATCCATCATCTTTCTTGGAAAAAAGACTGAAAGAAGATTTCATAATAAAGTAATAAAAATAACATAAACTTAAAAACAGGTATTTTAAAATGTTAATTGAAAATTCGATTTAAAAAAGTGATTTATGATAAGCAATAAATCAGAACACTGTCAACCAACCTACAGCAGGCTCTTCCTACTGTTGATGTGTTAAGTGCATTATTGTGCAATCGGATAAAGACCACCCAAGTTTAACTTTCAGGTGTGACGAGATTTTTGCAAAGAGGAAACCAAGAAGAACATCAAGTCCAGACCAGAAGGAATGCAGACGCAGACCAGAATCTCTGGAATCTTTGGAAAGACGAATCTAAAACTAAAGTATTTATGACATGTTTTGTGTAAACCAAATGCAGCACCCCATAAAAAGAACCTCACAGAAAATGAAAAGCACAGTGGGTGAAATGTCATGGCTTAGAGATGCTTTGCTGAAGCAGGAGCACCTTAGGAGGTCATAAAATTACAGCAAACTGGTAGAACTACTAATGAATCTGTGAGACCAAAACCCTCAACAATATATTACTAAACACTTTGCCAACTGTTTATGACAGTCCTAATGGCATTTTAAATAAAACAAAACAAAACAGGTGTGGCTGATGTTTTTTCTGATAAACGTTTCATTTTTGACAATAAAGTCCATCTGACAACGCATGTTTGTGGACAAGGTCTCAACATTTGAAATTTTATACCTTGTTTTCAAACCTGACACAATCACCATCTCCAAACACCACAGTGTGATGAGACTCCACCGGCTGCTGCTCCTGATCTGGGCCTTTTAAAAAAAAAAAAAAAAAAAAAAAAAAAAAATTAATATGAAAAAAAAAATAATGGGAATTTAATTTTTAATCATCACTTTTTTTATT